AGTGAAAATGAAGTAGGAGGCAGTGTTTAAGACCAAAAAAAGGTGTGAAATCGTTGTCTAGAAGAGTGGGTGAGTGGGTGAATGATGAAAACACAGTACGATTTCTCAGCAGAATTAAGCGCCCACTTGAGTTTTGTTGTCATGAATCTTAAATGAGCCCACTCAGCACAACTGTGCACAGCAAGATTCTGTCTCAAGCACGTAGACTGGGTCAGGGCAATAGTGACCGAGGCAGTGTCTTGAAGTTGAGAGAGGAATGGATATCCCGAGTGTATCCTACAAGTGAGCATTCATGAAATTGGATGCTGCATTTTTCCTGGGTAAAGCGGAAGAGGCTCGAGGAGTTTCGATGCACAGAGATCTTGCAATCTAAAAGATACACCCCACTCTTGGCAGTTCTCTCTAGATGGTAGGGAGCTCCCTTTGCCCACCCCTTGATGCTCCACCTGCTTCTGGGATAGCTTACTTGATATCCAGCAGGACAGCAATCAAAATGGACCTTCTTAACAGTCTCCCATAATCAAATCATAGAGTCTTCAGCATTTTCCCCAACCTTCTTTTACCCATCAGGAAGAGAACAACACCCCCAGTGGTCTCGTGGAAGCTACGATGACTGTGGCTAGAAGAGCCATGCCAAGTAAATCAATACATAGCAGGAAGCCTAGTGGTCATAAAATGTTCTAGAAGTAGACACTGATAGTGGTAGTTTTGCCCAACACTGTGAATATACTAAAAACAACTCTATTATTCACTTTAAAATGGTCAATTTATGTTATGTGAACTTTACCGGATTTATTAACATTTATCAGAAATTGTGATAAAAAGTGTGCTTGATAAAGGACATCACACAGAGGTTTGTAAATGAAAATGGAAGGTTTGTATAGAAAATGGAAGTATAATCTGATGGCGTGGGACTCAAAGCAGACTTGTTTGACGAAAATGGTCTAAAATAGACAATAGGCAGCAAAGAAGACTCCTAATCTCTTCTGTGCCCGGTGGTATAAAGCACTTGGGGATTGAACATTCATTACTAGAGAGGAATTCAGAATGAATAATGGTATCAGGAAGAGCTAGTCTTAGCCAAATGTGAGGGAAACACTCTGTAGGTGAAGTGGGTTCCCAGATGGGATGCTAGCCACGTGGCCGGTGATTCAAACCTACCTGGGGCGCCTCAGAATGGAAAGCTCAGGCTTTCTGCTCTAATAAAGGTTTATAGCCTCAAAACGCTATAGGGGAAATTGTACTGTGTGCTGTGCAGTCAATTAGAGTCACAATTGACATGATGGCAGTGGTTTTTTGGTTTTTTTTTTAATGTTTTGAACCCAAAGTCTTGGGCTACAAACTACAAGGCTGGTGGTTCACACCTACCAGCTGCTTCATGGGAGAAAGGTGAGGCTATCTACTCCTGTGAAGATTTACAATCTCAGGAACCATATAGTGGGTCATTGTGAGTCAGAGTTGATTCCATGGAAGAGGGGCGGGT